ATATATATATATATATATATATATATATATATATATATATATATATATATATATATATATGAATTATTCAAACAATTAAATACTTATGCGTTCCTTGTTTCCGGGGTTTTACGAAAAGAGAATCGTTTCGAGAAACATATTGGCTTACCCACCAGGCAATTAGTTATTATTCCATAGTGACGAAGTCACCTTTCCTCTTAGCGGTAGAAAAGTTAGTCGGCGAGGTGAATACCATGTATCACCCGCGTGTTTCGCGAATCACTTTATAAGTCAGTATCAACGATTTCGCGCAATAAGTGAATCGATGCGATGAAATTGCACCAAGGGGAATTCGATCAGAGAAGCTCAAGGGGCGCCAAGTAACCGATAGCGTTTCGGGGTACCCTCGACCTTTCTCGATAATGTCACAGTATGCGACATCGGCTACCCCCGCGCCGATACCCACTCCCTCCCCCGGCTACATCGCTGCATTAGCCGCTATAACCGTCTATCACGAAGAAATGTCTCGAGGTCACTCACTTCATGAAGGCTTATTTCGTGTAACATTGTACAAATACACGCGCGCATACATACACACGCGTGCATAACTAAGCGGAGAACTGTCATTCGTAATATAAAGTTTCAATAACAAAAATGAAAAAAGATATCTTTCGCTCGCATCATCGATGTATATAATAGTATATTGATATATAATGTATCTATAAATAAATGAAGAAAAAAAATATATGCTTGTCGACCGTGACAGGACTCGAACCTGCAATCTTCGGATCCGAAGTCCGACGCCTTATCCATTAGGCCACACGGTCGGTTGGAAGCATGTACTGTAACCAAGTATGTCTGTGAATTTGTATGCTCTTTTTGTCGTGTTGTAAATAGAAAATATTTAGATTAATATAATATTATAGATCATCTCACTTGTATATCATTAGATCGCGAAAATATATAGCTTTACTCTTAGTACTGTAATTAATAACTTATTAGTAATAATAATCGTTAGTAGTAATAATGGTAACGTTGGTAATGTTATTTTAACAATCAACAAGTCTACTGAATACAAAAGATTATGTAATATAATAATGATATTTATATTTACTGTTTTGTCATTGAGGAAGTGGTATTATTATGTATAATAAGTGTTAAATAATATACATATTTCTTAATGAGGAAAGTAAATTTAAAAAAAATAAAAATAAAAATAAAAAATATATGCAGAATGAGTAGTGTAATTTCTATGTACAGTTGCTTTACAAGTTATTTATAATTATTAGTAGGGGGAGGAGAGGGGAGATAGTATAATATTATCTTGATTATAATCAATATTCTATCGAAAGAATTAAGAGTTATATTTCATATATAATTCGTTTTTTTTTATTTTCTCGTATCTTATTTTTATTAAGGATTTTAATTCAAAATCACGTAAAATCGATTTAGCCGAGACTCAAATCAATTTAAATTTTTTTAGATGAGATTCAAACCAAAATGATTTGATAGAAAGCATGGTTACGTGCCAGATTTATCGACAGTAACAGTATCAAAAAATTAGCAAATAGTTATATTTAAAAATTGACGCAGGTGACGTGTTAAACGCCAGCGTGGGCTACTCTTATGTCCGTATTCATAGGCCTATATTCTGAACTCTTTTTTATCTATAAAAGTGCCTCTAAAAGAAACTTAAGAGCCTGATTGGCTGAGAAGCTATATTTAAGGCATTTTTATTGATAAAAGAGGGTTCAGAATATGGGCCATAGTCAGGTCTTATATTTAAAGCCTCCTTAAGTTCATATTCAGATGCTCTATGGATCATTTTATTGACTACAGCACATCTAAAGATGAATTTAAGGATACCTTAAATATAAGGCCTGACTATGAATATAGGCATTAATCCTTTCTATGCCCGATACTTTCAGATCATCTCGACTAATGAAAATGTAGCATCAAGTAGCCATATTGATTTACAGAGCATGTTCATTGGCCGAGATGGTCTAACGCTCTATGCACAATGCCAGGCAACAGGCAATAGGAATAAGGAATAATAAGTAATAAGTAAATAGTAATAAGGAAATTCGGATTGGAAATTCAATTATTTCTATTCTCTGTTCCTATTGGCTAGTACTTATTCCTATTGCCTGTTGTCTGACATTGTGCATAGAGCGTAAGGCTGAGTTCCTATTTATGGCTCTCGTAGACCAGCGCGATTTACGACACGTGATATGTGACGCGCGATATCCAATCAGCGTACCGCATATTCAGAATATCAGTACGTTTATTGGATATCGCGACGAGCGATATATATATATATATATATATGTATGATGTATGTATGTATGTATGTATGTATGTATGTATGTATGTATATGATTTTGCATCGGCGTCGCAATGTCCAAATCCATATATGTTTATGCCAGCCAATCGCAGAGTAGCTGAGTAGCTGGTCACATGACCAAGTGGGCGATTCTCTGTACTAGAGGTTCTCTAAGTGCAATAAATTAGAATGAGATAAAAAGTCTATTCTTTTTCGTTGCATTACTGCACTAGTGCAATAAGTTAGTGAGAAAACATAAATAAAATAATCTGTTCTTTGTAGCTGCACTAGGATTGCACTAGAACTGGACAGTGTAAGCAAGGACAGGCCAGTGCAAGAGTGTAGTCAAACCCGTATCAGACTATAGATTAGGATTGAGATTGAATTGAAATTTAGCCAATCAGAACAAAATTCACTAAGTTTAAGTTTGGTGAACTTTGCTCTGATTAGTCAATTTTCAATTCAATCTCAATCTTAATCCGTAGTCTGATACGGGCTTTAAAAGATTTATTAAATTCTTCCGACAACAACATTTCTACCAGCATCCACTAAAGCCCGTATCAGACTAGGATTGAGATTGAATTGAAATTTAGCCAATCAGAGCAAAGTTCACTAAGCTCAAGTTTGGTAAACTTTGCTCTGACTAGCCAATTTTCAATTCAATCTCAATCTTAATTCGTAGTCTCATACAGGCTTAATATGTTTTTTCTGTCATCCTTTCTTTGTCCTCCCTATTTCCATAATCGTGGGAATATCATCCATGATTGTTATTATCTTGATGTTTTTTTTATTAAAAATATAATAATTCACAAATATAAATTAACTACGAATTTTGTTATTTTGCCGGAAAGTCGATAGAAAATACTTACTTGTACTTAATGTGTTATATACTCTTTCATATTTATTTTCACTGATTTTGCACTTAGGATGCGTTTAGCGCGTCATGCGTCGCGTCGTCTTTCGTGGACCAATCAAACCGTCTCATTTTATTCCCTAACTTTACGATGAATAAAATTGGACGCGGAGGACGACGCGACGCGTGACGCGCTGAGTGGGAACGCACTCTTATTTACTGCACTTTAGATACACTTCTTGCATTGTACTGGCTACACTGGCTCCAGCAAGCAGTACAGTGAACTGTTGCACTATTTCTTGCTACACTGATACAAGAGGCCTGTTCTTTTTCGCTGCACTGCTGAACTGGTGTAATAAGTTAAAGCGAGACACTTCTGGCTCCTGCACACAAGACGCGGTAATGCTTGCCGCGCGGCGGAAGTCCGCGAGACAGCCAATCAATATGTTGTTTTTCCGTAAGAGCTAGAAGGTTATTACGGAAAGTAGCATATTGATTGGCTGTCGCGCGAACTTCCGCCGCGCGGGAAGCATTACCGCGTCCTGTGTGCAGGAGCCATTAGAATCACCGCTAGCGGTCTATGGTTATATAGGGTGCTTTCCAGTTGCGTACACTGTGTTACACAAAACCAGTTTATTGGTTGCATATTATCTTACAAGATATTTTAGATAATATATGACCAATAAACTGGTTTTGTGTACGTTTGTGTCAAGATGTGTTAAGCAATTGGAATGTACCGATAATCAAAGGATAGAATGATGTTTGCGTCGACTTGTGTCTCTTGTTGGAAAGCAACCCAATTGTACCAGTTGTATGAGACTTGTGTCACTGTTTTTATTCTTTCTGTTTACGTTAAAAAACGAGCAACGTAAATTATATTTACAAGAAGTTGAATTTGTGAATAAGTGTCCAAATATAACGTATCCGTAATTATTACAGATATTATTTATCCTTAATATCTATAATAATTTGCTTATCTTGGTTTAATATAATCTCAACATTATTATGTTTTTAAGATAACATGTATGATAAGTTTTAACGATTATGTCTTACAAGGATTCATCGTTTTCTACGATGTACGACCGCCAGGATGATTATGATCTTGATGAGGATAACGAAGAATATATGGAGGAGGACAGAGACGCCGAGGATCAGGATGATAGCGATGAAGGTATAAAAATAATGTAAATGTTATGCTCTCACAAATATTGCGAAATTGAAAAGCCAAGTGGACAGGATATTAACAGAAATCTGTTTCTTGTTTGTAATATGCTGACCATCGTATGACTTTGTATTGAACATCGTCTGAGGAGGACCACATCCCATGGTCGAAACGTAGCACAAAAATAAATTCTTAAATTTATTATATTTTATTTATTTTAATTTATTTTTAATTATTTTATCTTTATTGATTGACAATTTTTAATGTTAACACCAGCGAATTTCCTATTGTCCTTTAGAATCACAGAAATCTCTGTTTATGTGTAGAGTCGTGGTCTTTTTATCGCATATATTTTCAATAATGTATAAAATATTTGTGAATTTATAGAAAATTAATAAGAATTTTTTTAGATACTGAGGAAGCCAGCGAGACTGACATGGGAAAATCAGAAGAATATACAGAAATCAAGGAGCAGTAAGTTTAATACAATGAAATAGCATTGTTATATCAATAGTAAATGTAATTTCAGATATTCAAATGTTACAAATATTATTTAGGATGTATCAAGACAAGTTAGCAAGCTTGAAGAAGCAACTACAACAACTTCACGATGGCTCACATCCTGAATACAGTCGTAAATTGAAACGACTGGAATTCCAATATAAGGATAGGTTATTAAATTATTATTATTATCAATATGCAATAATTATTTATGGAGAAAGTTTTTTTAAGTTTTTTTAACAAAATTATTGAATTATTAATTTTGTTTTAGATTGAGTCTAAATATAATTTATCGAGACTACTTGACGGAATGTGTCGAACGAGATTATATATTAGAGAAAAAAGCAGCAGTAAAAGAATTTGAGGAGAAGAAAATTGATCTAAAAGAAAATTTACTTACCGATATGGAGGAGAAGCGTAAAATGATAGAGTCTGACCGTCACACGATGGAACTTACTGGTGATTCAATGGAGGTACTGAAATTTATTTCTATTCTATTTCAACTGACACACATACATATTTATTATTGTTAATGCTTGATTTTTTTTGTAAATGTTTTTTTTTTTGTTGAGGTTCTTGAATCAGTGTGAACTCTAGAATACATTATTAAAGTATTGTATGATAGTGGTGACAATAGTTTTGCTGTTTTATTGTGCTATTTTATTATTATGTTTATAGCCATTTTATTCACATCATTATTTTACTTAAGGTGAAACCAGTAATGACGAGGAAATTACGAAGACGTCCCAATGATCCAGTACCCGAAAAGGTAGAAAAGCGACGAAAACCAGCCCCAGCGTCATTAAATTATTTATTGGATGAAAAAGAGATCGAAAACGATTTAAAGGCAATCAGTCGTGGCAAAGTACTCACTACCGTTCGTAAACCAGGTATACATGTGTTATATAAATAGAGAAGTCACATATATAAAGATTACAAATGAAAAGTATAGTTATAATGTGTGTATATTTATAGTAGTTTTACCACACTACAATACAGTAAATATGCAGTCTCAACATATACCGCAATCCTCTGAGACTCCATTGGTAGAAACTCGGATAGAGGATGGGAAATTGTTGTATGAGAGGAGATGGTATTTTCAATTTATCTCTTTTATATTTTTAAGAGCTTGATTCTCGTCGAGCATACAAAAGTGTTTTCGTCTATTTGAAGGTATTGATCTCATTAATAGGTTTCACCGTGGTCAACCTGTCTACGTAGAGGGTAAAGATCTCGCCAGGTTCGCAGCGCACATTTCAGCGATCGGCACTGAAGCGGTGTGTATGCGAATGTAAAATAGAATTTCAAGATGAATTCGGTGCACACAGCACGTTATATGATTTATATTTTTTCCAGATCTGGGTGAAAAAGGTTTCGGACTCTAGCAAAGTGCGTATTTATACGTCGCAATTGAGTCGTGGGAAGATCTCCATCAAACGACGAGCGTCTTAATGAACTTTCCAATCACCGCCTATCCTTAAATTTCTGACAGGGCACGCTTGTTACTGACTGATGCAGCACCATTTGGTATGGAACCGATGATTTTCACGCTGCTGCTCTTCTGCCACCAGCAAAACCATGCTTTTTGGTGATATTGCAACGATATATAAATCCAAATGAAGTAAGACAGAATCAGGAAGGCCATCATTGAGAGCAGGGAATAAGTAGTCCATCGCGCAGGTGGAAAATTGTCGTAATTGTTCATAGCGTAAAAGTCCGCTGCCACCACGCACACGTAAGTGCATGCAATGGTTACGGGGGTGATTATGAGACATCTCAGCAAGTCGGCCTTCACGCTGCGGGCATACATGTCATACTGGTCTTGATTTAGACAGAGCCAGATTATAATGGAGCGAAGGACCTTGTAACGAGGTGTCCGTTCAACTCGGAATTCGTGGCCGCACAATTCGCAACTATTCCTGTTGCCTTCTTCTAACCATCGTTCCAAACACTTTAGATGGATCGCGCCCATTGTTCCCTAATTCCAATGTTGGAATCAGCAGTAGTTTTAAATCATTTTTGTAAAAAAAATTCTTCAAATATCTATTTTAATTATATATAATTATATATATAATTTTAATTGTATATAAACATTAAATGTAATGTGAATTTTGTAAATTCTGGTAATGATCAAATGTTGCAATGCGACTGTAAAAAGAGAGTAATTTGTATCTATCCTCAAGTTACATAATAAATTAGACGCAGGATGTTTCCTGAAATATAAATAACAAATTTCGAACAAATTTTTTAACTTGTTTCTAATGTTTAATTGCTTGTTTCAGGAACATCCTGTACTAATGAATATGTATTATTTTAAAATCGTGAAAGCCTCAAATGTCAAACTGATCATTCCACGGACCTAAGAGAAAATGCCAGAAAAAGACCACACAATAATAGATTTAGAATGCAATTTTTTATATTTTTCAAATTCTCTACTTTCTAAAAACTTTAAAAAATTAAGTCATATTTTGTTGTTTCGAACCTTACATCTGCACGGATATACAACAGATAATTCCTGATTAGGATCGTAACAAATGCGACAGTTTACATCTTCCATTGAGTCACGTGGTAATAAATTAATCTTTTTGTCTGACACCGTGACATCCTGGAACTTCAAATGGCTCGCATAAGACGGCAAATTTTCCTGTTCTAACTCAATCTCTATTTTTGAGATAATGTCGTTTAAAATATCGGCGATTGAACTATTTCCCGCAATCATTGTGAAAATAAATTTATGTGATGTATCTTCACCAAAAAACATATGATTGCACGAAACATACGACAGACGCGTCACAATTCACAGGTATCCCCTTGAAAAAGAGGATATTTTAGGAATTTTTTGTGGGTCTTTTGTTTATTGTTGAATGTATAAAAATTTGTATTACGTTATTATAGTGGATACAGTTGTTAGTCGCGTGAAATAATCTTAAAGAGACGTTTAACTATGTGCACATCGTAATAATTGATGAGTAAGCTATAAACGAATGTTCGTCACTCCGCCATCATGTCTACGCTGAGGCAATCTTCTCCCATATTACTCGGCGAGGTCTCCAATTCTCCGATCTCATTCGATTCGCTAGACATATTTGACCTAGTTTTTATTAATTCTACCTTCATACACACACAAAATAAAGTACTTCTTCAAGAGGAGATACAGAAGGAAGCCTACCTATCCAAAGAAGGATCATTACTGAACATTTCAGTTGGAACAGTAGGTGGTGCTTTTTCTGGTACTAGTTCCAAGTAAGTCTGACGAGATTCTAAATGTCTCTCTACTTCCTCTGGTGTCATATGTCCATCAGACATTAAGGATATCGGAACCATATTATTTGCAGATTGTACCTGAGAAACATGGAAAAACATTCTTATTGAGGTATTTTTATAAAAAAATTTCACTGTTGAATGCATCGTGCAAGTGTACTTACTATAGGTGTGCTGTTTGTTTTAGCAACTTTTGGTGTACTCTTTTTCTTCTTACTGGTACTAAGTGGCTTTGTAACCACTGATGGATGATGAGGAGTATGATTATTGACATTTATTTCAACTTTTTTCCTGAAAATTGTATATATGTGTCCATATATTGTAAGTGATTGAGTTTAATAATTACATTTTATTCACATTTTAATTACGTTTTAATTTTACTTACCTCTTGGAATTATCAAGACGAACAACTTCCTCATCAGATGATTCGGTCTCATCGCTCTCACTGAAAGATGCGTCCACCTTCTCATATTGCAGAAGACGATCCAACAGGAAACTCTTGTCTCTGTTTACCTTGAGTAGCTTCCTCTGTGTAGAGCGCAGGGCTTCTTGAAAACACTCATTCTCCTGCGATATGATGGACTTTGTTAGTAAATAAAAGATATAGTGGTGTATATGGCAGTATGCAAAGATGTCTCTTGCGTACATAAATCAGGAACTTTAACTTCCGCTTGAGATTGCGATACTGGTCTTTGTAGTTAGGCACTTCTTCTTCAGGACTATCTTCATCGTCCTCTCCTTCGGGATCTGCATTGTTGTTTCCAATAGATCGGCAATACCATCCGTCCAACATTGATCATCTGCAGCTGTAAAAAAAATTACGTTTTCTCATTACAACAGTACCGAGGAAGTTCTTTTTCCACTCTGACGCCGTTGTCAGGTCAGATTTTTTCCCAATTTACCGCGACTATGAGAATGCTATGATGCTAGATCACCGATGAAATATATAAATACATTTATCCATACGAATAAACATCTTACGTATCCACGTAAATGAATAGATTACAAAATCGATAAAAAGTTACATGAGAACGCATTTCTGGTTCGTCTCAAAGAGAGGTTAAGTCTGCAAGAAACACGATAACTTTCACGCCGGCCGTTTAATTGCGCGTAGAAACGATTCTCAGACTCTAAGTAACCGCGAGATTAACGACGGATTTTCCTTTGCACTCACTTGAAGTCCCAGTGTGATCTGTCGCACGTTACAAGCGCTTGTGGTGAACGATTATTGCGAAGATAAATAAGCTGTTTATGACTGGCTTCCATCCTGGACTCTTTATCGATTCTGTAGTAACTTCAGCGCGTCCCCGGTTGAACGAAAGCGCGCGCGTCGGATGGAAGCGCTACCGCTGTCAACTTGAATTACATTTTAGAACGTAATTGTGAATTTCATTAATTAGATGAGAATACGCAACTACGCGTGACTTTGGTGTGCAAATTCTAAAGAGGTAGATTAGAGCTTTCAAAATTACGCACTATTTGTCGACTCATTTTCATCGTTTACAATATACAAATGATTATCATCGACGTTCGAACGAGTCTTAAATTCACGATGGAACTATTCTTATGCATTTGCCTCTTTACTTAAAAATTTCCAAATTCATCTCATCTTCAAGATGATTAAGAAAAATCTTTAAATTATTTTTCACGTAATTTATCTTTAAATTATTTTACATGTAATTGCATTTTGTATCCCGTCTTTCAATTACACACGCTTTACCAAAAATTATATCTCATAATGAATTTCTCAAGAGGACCGCAAAATAATAATATTGGAAATACAGTTAAAACTGAAAAAAATTTTTGAAAGTTTTCAAAAAAAGTCTCCCCATAACTTCTACTTTTGTTATATTTTTTCAAATAGTTTCGTTGTTACTATCAATTCCTTACCTAAGAAACAATAATTAATATTTTTGTATGTTTGTACGTTATCATGCGATTTCTTATTATCGCGGATCGGTATTGCAAAATTATCAGGTTTAATCCCTTCAGACCGACAGGAAACAATATCGATCCTGAGGGACCAGCACATGCGCCCTGAGTGGTATCCTTCAGCGTCCGCATGTGCGAGGGGTGAAAACAGACTAAGCTCTTGTCGAGAAATATCAGTGAACATGTACAGTCGATTCTTCCATTCTTGTTAACACGTGACAGTGTATTTCCGCCTCGAGAAAAATGAGTCCTGGCTTGGGACACGATCCTTTGCCATCTTATAACATCACTACGATCGGTGAGTTACGAATGAGAGAAAATATTCCTGCATCGTTCGACAAGCTTTCATTCTCTCGTATGTCGCGATATCGAGAATTTCTCTTCATAAAACCACGATTCGAACGAATCGATGATTCGTTGGATTTTTCACTTATCTCCTTTGTCCGTGTAAATGCGGAGTAATGAGAGGAGGAATACATGTTATGTGAATGAAAAGACATATCACGCACGCGGCAGAAATATCGTCATGTTTTACATGAATAGAAACTTTATGAAAACCAATAAATCAGTCTATTCATTCTTCTTTATTTCCTTCAAGGAAACGCTGCGCTCTGTTTGTGGCAACAGCCGCAGCATGTTTTGTTCCAGCTGGCGAATTTTTGCTTCGTGCTCTCGTACTCGGCGCCGTCCTCTAAGAAGGGGATTTTGTTCATGCACTCAGTGCTAATTGTCGGTAAGTGTTTAATAATAACAAAACACGGATAAACATTATATTTCTCGCAGAACAGTTTTCATCAAAGTAATTACAAGAAAAGAAGGTAATCATAATCCACCCAAATTAATTGCAATTAAAGCAAAAGTCTGCGAGATTGTTTAAAAAAGATATCTTATCAATTGATCTTTTGACTAAAAGAATTTTATTATCAATATAATTTATTATTGGAGCTTTAATTACAAATGATTAATTTCCTTCTTACCACACTTTTTCAGGATTTATGCTGCTGTCAGGGTGGGCTTGGCATGTAATTTGCGCGCCGGATATTTTCTCCTGGAACTTCAGCTTCTTGTTGTTGAATATCGGCCAATTAGTGTATACCTTTTATCAGATGCGGCCCGTCAAGTTTGATATCGAACTGGAGGAGGCTTATCATACGCTTTTCTATCCTTTCAAGGTAAGCGTTTCTCGTAAGAAGTCGCGAATTTGAGAGGATTGCCTCGAAACTTTGGCGATTGCTTTGTTTCTCTGTTGAATCTTTAATGCACCGCAGGTCTCGCGTTTACAATTCAAGCGATTGGTATCGCCGGAATTCGCGACGATAATGTCCCTCCACGCCGGCGAGGCGTACGCGATGCAAAACTTAACGAAAACGGACAGACTGGGCTTGTTGCTTAGCGGTAAAGTCAACGTTCTCAGCGACAACAATTTTCTGCATCCGATATTGCCTTGCGAATTCCTCGATTCGCCGGAATTTGAGAGTTCCCGAGCTTCTGTTGATGATAAATTCAAGGTGCATCTTTGTTTATATATACATATATATTTCTTTAAATTATCGTTAGAAACTTCAAAAGCTGGAGTTATATTTTTTATTATATCGAATATTTGCCTTAGGTGGCCATCGTGGCAGCGAGTTCTTGTCGTTACTTGTACTGGCAAAGATCAGCCTTGGAATATCTCCTCGTGAAGGAAACTTACCTTGCTACTGTCTTGACCACACTGGTGGCGAGAGATATTGCGACAAAGCTGTACGCAATGAATAACAAGGTATTTTATTATTACTGTTTTTTGTCATTTATTTCTTTTGAATTATTTTTAATCAAAGATATCTCGTCACTCTAAACTCATCTTTCGTATAATCTATCATCATTACTAATCTCTTAACTCATAACTAGTTTCTTAGCTCTCCAACTTTACTTACCTACGCTTTTGTCTCATCGAAAATCTTAGATAGTTACGGACAAAGGGTCGCACTTGGATATTCGCCTACCTTCGATCAGCGCCGGGTTGGGAATAAGCAGCGAGTACAGAAGTCCTCGAGCCTACAGACACGCGCTGATTCGCAGGAAAGAAGCTAAACCAATGTCCAATAATGGTACATGCCACTTGCATCGTCGTTTCGACAAGTTTTAGCCTTACCCATGTTAAGTCGCACACTTATGTTAATCGACTATTCCTATTATTTCAGTTAGCAGCGCGAAGTCTAAGGACCGCACGGTCAACAACCTGACGAAGAAGGGCGCGCCGAACATGGAACCTCTTCCAGAGCTACCATCCTGCGACGACCTGGCCTCCAGTGGCGTAGAGAGCTGGCTGGACTCCTCCAGCAAGTATCACAGTTGCGAGATCGTCGACGAGGAATAGCATCACGCCCCCTGCTCGAACCAGGAGAGCTTGCTCGGAGACGATGAGTCCAACGAAGAGAACGCGCAGGCTTTCAGCTGTAAGACCGCGGACCATTGGGCACAGTATCCTGAGGACTAGCGATAGAAAAGGAAATAGAGCACTTCTCTCTTGCGTTCGAAGCGTCTGTACTTCTCACTTGTGGATTTTAACTTGCCAGGAGGTTTGACTTCCAGGAACAATTCGACCTCGTCGTTGTTACTTAAATTTTCGGTTAAATGAAAACGATTAACATTCATGAAAGCAAGTGTTCGTGCTAATCCACGTATTTTACGATATTGACCTGTAGGTTTGTTGCCCGGCAACGAAGATCGCAACGAACCTCTCGAAAGTTACATGCGCAATGTAAATTTAACACTCTGTACATACTTGTAAATATCGTACTTGCGAAGAATTCGAAGAACGAAAGTTCTTCCCCAAGAAAAAGGAGTAACGTTTGTAAGGATATTCTAAATAATTTCTGAAAGGGACAAACACATGTTAGATAAGTGCAATGTTTATAATAAACGCGCCTATAACATTTTTGTAAATATCAATCAAGAAATCTGTATAGCCAGCGACAATAGAGGATTTCTTACGAAAAAAAGATTTTTACAAAAGAAAAGAGAAAAAGTACATGAGAAAAATGTTCAAATATTCAAATAAGTTTTCAAATAACATGACTATTTATAATTGAGTAAATAAAAACATGCGGTATTTAACATAGTATATTTGGTTATGGTATTTCTCACGACGGGACCTATCCTCTCATGATATTACCCTTCATAAACCGTTAAATATTCCTGACAGTTCTTCCAGAAATTTTCAGAAAAATATTCTCACGCTGAAGGATAAAGTTATGAATATTTATACATTTATGAATATTTATAAATTAAATCTGTGTCGTAGTAGCGACGTTGTTCTAATCAAAGTTACATGCGCTCAATTGTCAAATTTCCCAGCAAATGCTTCATATTTTCCAGTTAGCCTGTAATAAGTTTCGCCGTTTTACGAGCACGTTTATCGTGCAAAAATTCGAGCTTATGCTTCGTATGAGTGAAAGGAGAATGAAAAAGACAAAGGAAACGAGAGCTGGAAAGAGCACCCCCGCCTGTGACGGAGGGAAAAACACTTGAAGGACTCTCAAGCGAGACTTACGGCTTCGGCCTCGGAAAGGGGTTGCGAGCGGTGGTGCCACCTACGTGGAGGGCGTGGCGTTAGTTCTAAGGGTGGTTTAGTGTCGCGAGAGCCCCCAGAGGCGCGTCATCGTGCGGCGGTCGTGCGGAGCGTGCAACCCCCGTTGCACAGTTTCGCGCCCTCGGCAGGGCGGCTGAGAGCAAGAGGACGAGGCGTACGCGCGCCAGAGGCGATCGAGCGAGCGTGAGGGGGTTGAAGACGGCCAAGGCGGCGGGAGAGGCGGGTGGGTGAGTGGCTAAGGGGGTGGGAAGCTCTGTGAGGCCGACGGGAGCAGGGCTGGCGTACTCCGTATGCGCGCATCGGCAGGGAGATTCCGCGCGGAGATGAGCGTACGGACGGTCGTCCTGCGTACCTCGTCGTCGCCGTCGTCGCCGTCCATTCCCCGATGATGCCGTGTCCTGGGTCTCGGACTCCGTGCAGCGAGCAGGAGGACATCACTGTCACCGTCATTGCCACCGCCGGCAGGAGGAAGGACACGCCGTCGATGTGAGGACCGCTCCTCGCTCCTGGCGGCAGTGACCATGGCGCCTGTCCTGTCGTGTAAACAGTGCTCCGAAGGATACGACCTTCTTCCTGGGCAGACGTCGCCGCCGTGTCCTTGCTGACGAGTGGACGGAACATCCGGTGCGTTCAGATAGGTAGATGGATAGATAGATAGATAGAGGGAGAGAATGTGTGTATGTGCGAGGAAGGGAAAGAGAAGGTAAGAGGGTGAGAGGGCGGAGAGAGACAGAGAGAGAGAGAGAGAGAGAGAAAAAGAGAAAAAGAGAGAGAGAAAGAGAGAGAGAGCAGAGGATGCTGGAGAGGGTGTCGCGCGTGTTCGAGTAGCTTCGCGGGGCTACCAAAGGAGAAAGTGTTGATGATGATCTCACTGGTAGCGTCGCTGTAATTGGGGTTCACGGGGTCGCAGACGCCGAGAGATGTGTGTAATGAGTGATGTGTAATTGTTATTGATCAGTAGCGTGATGAGAGAACGCGCATCTTGCATGTCATACGATTGTTGACTTCGTTCGCCACGTTCAGTCATAAGAGACGAGAATCTGCGATCTCACTAGTTTGTCGCCTCGATTCTTAAATGCATCTCTCTTCCCCCTCCCTCTGCCACTCGCGGTGGGTATTCCGTTTAAGCGCTTTCTAAAGAGCTCTGCGGAGAACGAGAAATGAGTAATGTATGTGATTGCTATTGATCCCAAGTGAGAGCAAATCATGCGTTCGCGGTGCGTTAATTCTTGGCAATTACAACAGAAATCGCTTCTTTATTTAATCGTTCTAGTTGTGCATATAAATGGAACGATTGTCTCACATAGACTGGTTCTGACTGGTTTGCAGCTGATGCAAGAATATTTGGCGTTCTAAATCACAGAATATTCAAGAGAATAATCTGTCTCGAAATAGTTTCGCCAAAAATTATAATGCTTATTATAGCTGTTTATACCGAGGCTGTTTAAGCTATATATCGCACTGATTAAACAGGTTACGGATAAAACAGCTGATGGCATATGATTGTCGATGATGATGACATTTGAAAGCTATTGGAAAGAGATCATTTCGCGAGAAGACTCGAATTAGATGAGGATTTAAATTTAGAATTTCACTTGTACAGCCATTCGATATTCATAGTTCTTAAGTTTGAATCGTATAAACTGGTGATTTGAATTCCTAATAAATATAGATATTAATTAAAAAGCAGGTTTCGAATATTTTTGTACACACTGTTTTTATCGATGGACTTGCAAAGATTAACAATAAGTTAGAAAAATCTCTCGTTTATGCGTTTGCAATCTGTCTCTTCTAACTTATAAATTAGTTAATAAATAGAAACACTTATTATGTATTAGTTTACTTGTGCGTCTCTTCTGATAGCTAAAAGAAAGAGACGAATTTTATTGACGTTAATTTTCACGAATTGTGTGCTGTTTCAGATTTCAAGCAAGATCGACGAGACCGCGGGAAGAGATCACAGAAACGTTTCGTTAAAACAGAAAAAAACGAGAGAAAAGAGAGAAAGAAAAGAAAAAAGAACGGAAGACTCGCCTTAATCATTGTGACTCTGTAGTGACACACGTGATCGATCCACACAGTCCCTGCCTCACGTGACGAGCTCGTCGAAGTTAAAAAGTGATCGGTTGCGATGGTGTCGCGTAAAGTGATGTTCGTTCGCGTCGCGAATTTCGACGAGGACAGAGGAAGCCGAGCGCCTTCGTGTTCGCTGCAGTCGACGCACACCCACAGTAGACTGAGGTGTATCATCCTGCACTCCAAAAGACATATCGCTTATCCACCATAAGGTAAGGACGTGGATAGTGTTACCGTGAAAATCGAATAAGCGATCGAATCATCCGGCCGCCACACAGAGCTCGAGAGTTCACGCGGCGACGTGACCGTGCAAACTGTGCGCGGCTGAATCAAATACTGCGTCCTTTTTGCGAAATATAAGAAGTTGCAGGGAATTAAATATTTTTCAGCCATTAAGATCGTTATCCCACGTTACAATCTCCCCAATCGGTCGTGTTCGTTGCCTCAATTAACAGGTGACGCGAGAGAGAGAGAAAGAGAGAAAAAGAGAGAGAGAAAAATTAATTGTGACATGCGACGTTAGAGTATTTACCTGTTGCACGTTCGTGCAAAGAGAGACGTCGAGACTTGCAAGTAACCAGCAACGAACGCTAAGTTTGCCAACAACGATTCGCAACGATCTTCCACGTAAGGGCGAAACGGGACCCTACCAGTTGCCCGGCGTTAAAGGGGAACGAGAAGGTTCAAAAGAGAGATTCTCTTAAGCCTGATCTACAATGTGCTCTTTGTTACCTCTTTTTTGTTCTCTGTCTTTTTCCGGTTAAAGGCTCAAGTCAAAAAAAGGGGGAGAAAGAAACTGGAAGCAAAGAGTACATTGTAGAGCTGAGCTTAACATCGGACCATGCAAACCGGACGCTTTGTCGCGACGCACATCGATCGCGAACGATTTGATTTTTTATGACAGGAACGTGTTCATTTACGATCCGACAGATTAACCCCGAATATAATCTCGCGAGTTGCGATTTATAATTCAGTTCGCCACGCGCGCCGTATCAAACTTCGTCATCAATTATCCCCCCGATATGGGCGCGTTAATTAACTGCACCGGTGCAGTTTTAACGGCATATGCCGCGCTATGCGTTAAAGCACACGCATATATCTGCATTAAACTACGCGTTTCGTGGTGGTAAAATTAGCCATTGTGTGTATATGTATGTATGCGCGCGCGCGTGCGGCCGCGTGTACGCGTAGTACAAGTGTCGCGGCGTGCATACACGATGCTCAGGCAGATCGCGACGGTGTCGTGAGGTTTGTGTAGATATACCCTTGACCTCGGGTGACACGGGCGATCCTCGGGCTTCCCGATCTGGAACTCTGGTATGTCGAGTCTCGGCGGAGACCACCAGACGGAATTCGCGATCTCGTGGCTGGCGGTTCGCAGCGCACACGTGCGTCGCGGTGTGTAGCGGCCTTTACGAAAGAAGGGTTGCACGTAGCAGACCGCGTGGTTCCTGCCCGAAAGGGTCGATAGCCCTCTCTTCTCTTCGCACGGCGCCCGCGCCGTCCCCACGCTCTATATCGCGGCCAGCGTAACGCTTTCGGCTACTGATTGTTTACTGGCAAAAGACTGCTTTGTCAAACCGTTTTGATAGTATTGGTATAGGTCCTCGTGGCTCGAGGGAACAGACCTTCCGCGCGCTGATAAGCCGTCGGCGTGTTACTTCTACGCGATCGACTGCGGTATTGGATTTCCTTGAGTTTGCGAATTCTTTCGGCGCGCACCGCGTGTTCGTCGCTCTCCCCTCTTTCTCTTTATTTCTCGAGAACCCCTGTTCTCGATGTTTGAACGACTTGTACATGCCTAAGCATAGAACTTCTGCATACCACAAATTTTATGCAATAATAGGCATTCATAATTGGAATTCACTGGCGTACAAAAGTCTTTCACTTGGATCTAAGCTTATGACATTTAAATATTACATGTGACATGAATTAAATATTACATTGTGACATGAATATACAAAGTTCGATTTATTAATCATTATTCACGATATATCTCATCATTATCATTCATCTCTCATCCTTTCATTTTTTTATTCTTGCATCTTTGTGTTTTTATCGCGGCTTTCTGCATTTTTTCTCATTAGCTGCTTTTAGCAGGAAAAGCTTTGCAACTGTCGTAAAATTTCTGAATTTGATTAGCGTATGCTCTTAATCTTGGCTGAGTATGAATCAAATTCACGAATTTTATAATATTATAATAGTTGCAAAACAACTTTCTTTGTTGAATGCAGTATATTATTATTATTTCTATATATTTAGATATTTTCTTTTACATTATTTATATTTCTATTTATTACCAATCTTCTTTTCTCAAATGTTTTTACTTTCTTGTTCTTTTGCGAGAAGCGACTGTCTGAATTACTTATATTTCTATGTTGCTGTGTTTTCTTCTCTTCTATTCTATTCATTCTCTGTGTTTTGTTTGAGTTTGCTATTTTGTGTGACAAATAACA